GATGGGCCTCAGCCCGGTGTCCGCGGTGGGTGCGAGGCCCTGCAGGGGGCTGTGCGCTTTGTGATGCCAGCGCTGCGTTTTCTGCTTCTCATCATCATCCCACGACCAACCTTAAAATACCCCATACCAATGGGAGGGGCAGGATGTGTGTGATGAGACCAAGGGGGCCAGATTCCCTGCTGGTGGAGTGGGGCACATGGAGGACCCCAGAAGCCTGTCCGTGTCCCAAAGCCCAGCACGTTTGCAAATAGGGTCTCTGCTGATGTGACTAAGGATCTTAGGAAGAGATCATCTTGGATTTAAGGTGAGCCCCAGATCCAATGACAGGAATACTTGTAAGAGAAAGAAGGGAGATGTGAGACACGCAGACCCAAGCGAGGAGACCTGGAGGTGACAGAGGCACAGACTGGGGTTACATAGCTCTGAGCCAAGGTTGCCGGCAGTCACCAACAGCTAGAAGAGAGGCAAGGACAGGTCTCTCTCCCAGAGCTGACCACTTTGTCTTCGACTTCGGGTTTCTACAACTGGGAGAGAATTGATTTCTCTCTCTCTTTTTTTTAAAGATTTAATTAATTTATTTATTTGACAGAGAGGGAGAGAGAGAGAAGGGCAGTGAGAGAGAGGGAACACAAGCAAGGGGAGGGCAGAGGGAGAGGGAGAGGGAGAGGGAAAAGTAGGCTCCCCGCCCAGCACAGAGCCGAAGGTAGACACAGAACTGAGCCCCCCAGGCAGACGGATTTCTCTTGTTTTTAAGCCTCGAGTTTGTGTCATTTGTTACGGCTGCCCCAGGCCCCTGGTGCAGTAGAGCAGGGAGGCCTGAGCTGAGGCGGGTGGCCGAGTTTGCTTTCCTGACACTGGGTTTCGTAGGCCGATCTTAATGTGAATATATACTGCATCAGGTCACACTTGCTGGGTGGATGTGGGCCCAGAAGGATGCCCTTTTGGCACGAAACACCCAAAGCCGTGAGGTGACGGACAGCTGGCTGGCTGCCAGCACGGTCGGTCGGGCCTTTAAAGTCACAGAGTGGGGACGCCTGGGTGGCTCTGTTGGTTGGGTATCCAACTCTTGGTTTCAGCTCAGGTCACGATCTCAGGGTCTTGAGATCAAGCCCCGTGTCAGGCTCTGTGCTCAATCAGGTTGTGGGGGGGCTCACTTGAGATTCCTTCTCCTGCTCCCTGCCCCTCCTGCTTGTGCACGTGCTCACTCTCTCTCTAAAATTAATAAATAAATCTTCAAAAAAAAATCAAAGGGTGTGTTTTTCAACAGGTAACTTAGGGAAACTGAAGGTCATGGATCCTTCCTTTGGGGGAGGGGACAGGAAGCCTGATCTAGCAGCACCCTGTGGGGACAGCTGGATTTTCATAGATGGCTCCTTTACCCCTCTCCTGGTTGGTGTTACCAGCTGCGTGGCTCCTGAAGCTGTTTGCTGATGACTGACAGCGCTCTGCAAGCCCCTTGGAGCTCCGTGGGGGTGAGTGTGAGGGGTCTTGAACACAAGCCACGTGGGGGGGGTGTCTTGACAGGCCTCGGCTCCTATGGTCCCAGAAGCCTCAACGACACCTGAGCCGTCAGGCATGGGAATAGGTGTTAAGTAGGCCCTTGACTGGGTGGGAGGCAGCAGGGCCCCCAATCATGGTGGCAGTAGTGTGAACACAGGAAGTTTGTGGCTGGCGTAGTGACGAGTGGAGGGACCATCGTCGTCATCTGAGATGGAGCTCCAGCTGTCAAAGTCATGTTTCAAGCAGCCAGGATGGAAAAGGGGGCACAGACTCAAAATCCTGTCCTGCATGTGCTCACAGTACCGTCTGCTAAGAGGTGAACCATGTCCCCTAAAAGTTCCCATGCTGGAGTCGCTCAGAATGTGACCTTACTTGGGTCACTTCAGATGGAATTGAGTTCATACTGGTGTAGGGCAGACCCCGTATCCAGTGTGACTGGTGTCCTCGTGGAAAGGGGAAATTTGGACAGAGAAGGAGAGAGAGAGGGGGGCACAGAGGGAGGGCCTCGTGAGGAGACACAGGGAGAAGGCAGCCATCTCCAAGCCAAGCGGGGTCTGGGCCCTGTCCTCACCCACAGCCTCAGGAGGAACCGGCCCAGCCCACACCTTGACGTCTAGCTTCCAGAGCTGGGAGAGAAGAAATCTCTGAATTCCTTTCTCTGCATTAGACCCCGGAATTTCTGGCATCTCAAGCTTGTTTTAACGCTGGCCCCAGAGTCCAGCTTTCCGGCTGTCGGCTGTTCACGCTTGCCTGGCTGACCCAGATCGCCGGGTGCCCTGTGGGACAGGTCCACTCTCTCCAAATTCGTCCCACACATGTTCTGCACAATTCTGCCGGCACAAGCCTACTTCCTATGGTTCCCTGTTCTCCTGGTGGCTAAGCCTTCCCCGTCGGAGTGTGGCTTTATGTTGGCAACTTGACTCTCTCAGGTCTGGGGTCGGGGGGCAGGGGGCTTTGAGGGAAACAGACTTTTCTCCTACAAAGTAACTCCTTCAAGGGATGTCATTACAGTATCTTCAAGGGCAGGGACAACTTCATCCAATGAGGGAAGAGGGGCTGTGGAGGCTGGCAGGGGGCCTTCTGCCAAGGAGGGGCGGAGGCCCCTAGCTTATGCCATTTACTGTGGTCCGGTCCCTGGACCCTACAGGTGCCATAGCAGCCCTCCTGCTCTCCCACAGATTTGGAAAGGTTGGAGATTCAGCTCCTGCGGTTGCTTTGCAACAAGCCAATCCAGCTGGCCGGCTCCGAGTTCAGCTTGGCAGCTGTCAGAAGTAGGCTCCCCAGACTGGGCAGCTTCCTGCCGCCCAAGAAGAGTGGTCTGGAGTTTGAGCCCATTACTTTCCTTCCCTAGTAGGTCTGTTTCATTCAAAACAGCAGCCCTGGAACGCCTGGGTGGCTCTGTCGGTTAAGCCACTCACTGCCTTCGGCTCAGGTCATGATCCCAGGGTCCTGAGATCAAGTCCCACATCCGGCTCCTTGCTTGGCAGGGAGCCTGCTTCTCTCTCTGCCTCTGCCTGCTTGTGCGCTTGTGCTCACGCGCTCTTTCCCTCTCTCTCTGACAAATATATAAATAAAAATCTTAAAAACAACAATAACAACAAAAAAAATCTCCAGCCCTCCACAGAGTTCTTGAATTCCTCATGCTCAGCTGTTGTCCATGGCCGGGGACATGCTTAGTTCCCAGAGCCTGGCCTTCCCCAAGCAGGTCATTCCTGGTGACCAGGTGCCCAGGACTGCCTCATCCCCGTCCCTGCACGCTGCTCAGCTCCTCTAGTCACATCTGGGCCAGCCCACCAGCCCCAGTTTTCTGGAAAGGTCGTTGTCTGCAACCCTCTCCAGAGATTACGGGAAGCATCACTTGCACAAGTGACCAGAGGGCTGGGCAGGCTCAGGTCTGGGATGGAGGCAGGACAGCCAGCTGGAGATAGAGAGTGTCCCCAGACACTGTGGCTGTGCTGCGGGATCTGGGCTCCCCAGCTCTTGTTTTCTCCCTCACCATGCCTGCGGTGGGCTTGTGTCCTTACTTCCCAGAGGCCAGGGACGCTGGAAAGAGACTCTGAGGTCTGCCCTTGCCCCTGGAAACACAGTTGTGACACGGATGTCCAATTCACGCGACTTAAGAAATGAGACTGTTAACGAGCACTTCATATTCTTGAAGGTGGGCTGTCCCCTGCTGAGGAGTCAGGGTGGTTAGAGAGGGCTGAGTGGACTCAGGACTGGGGTTTGACAGTAATCATGCTCTGAGGGCTTGTGTGTCTGGCAAGGTGTGGGAGTTAGGAAAAAGTGTGGGGTCTTTCTTATGGCTGCCTGTGTGTCCCATCAGGCTCTGGGACCCCCTCCCCAAACACACACATGCTTTGGGGAACGCCAGGAGGCTTGGGAGGCCCACAATCAGCAGTGAAAGGGGGCGGGATGTCTGCCCGGCTCCAAGCCCTTCCTCAGAAAAGCCCTCCGCATCAGGCTGAGGTGGGCCCCTGCAACCTTTGGGCATTGCCCTGTCCTCGGAGTGGCTGCTGGGGGCGGCTCAGGGTCTGCTCATCTGAGTCCCCTGGCTTGGCCATGGAGGGTTATCTGCAGGCGTGGGGCCCGTGTTCCCTGCGGATCTCCCCTCCTCCAGGAAGCTGTCTGCTGGCCCAGCTCTTTGGAAGGTGGTGAAATTGCTGCCTTATAAGGATTCTAGTCTCCACAGTTCCGGTCTCCCCCAGGGGGTCTTGGAGGCCCAGAGCCTGGGTGGGGTGCCTGGTCTGCGCAAGGGGCCCCACCCCTTCCTCCTCCTGGCCAGGGTCCAGACCGGCCTGACCTCTCACTGGGAACTGAGGAAGTGAGCCAGGGTGGGACAGAGGTCTCTTCTGTGGGTCTGGGCCAGTACCAGGTGGGGGGGGGGGCAGATAACCCCATCCCGCATAAGGAGGAAGCTTCTCGTTCAAAGCCGTCTGCCTCAGCAGGGACGCCTGCCCTGGGAACAGACACCCTGGGGGGTCCACGCCCTGCCCAGGCCTCTGCGCCGAGCTGGGTGGTGGCAGAATGGCAAAGAGCCCTGGCTGGGCACTGAGGGATGGAAGCGAAGACTGGACCCCGTGGTCAGCTGGTGCAGTCGTGGGGTGGGGGTGGCAGTCCTTTCTCTTCAGGCCTCAGTGCCCCCCTCTGTAACGGAGGGGGCTGGTGGCCCTGGACAGCGGGTGATGTGCCGCAGGCCCTCAGGGCCCCCCACGGTGGACAGGGTCGTGGGGAGCCCGGGACACGAACCCCCGGCTCCCAGAGCCGCCCGGCGCGCGCGTCTGCCGGCAGGGGGCGTCCTCGTGCCTGACTTTATGCGCCCGCGCTCGACGTGCTCGTCCCCGCACCGCCCGCCGCCGCCCGAGCAAACGTGCGCGTGCACGTCATCGCGAGCGTGTGTGCGTGCGCGCGCGCGCGCGCGCGCGGGCGGGCGGCGGCGGCGGCGGCGGCGGCCCTGAAAGCGGCGCTCTGAGCCTGAGGCGGCTCCGGCTGAGGCGGCTCCAGAGGCGGCGGCGACCCGCTCCCCGCTCCCCGCTGCCCGCTCCTCCTCCGGGCCCGCCAGCCCAGGCCGCTCCCCGGGGCCCGAAGATGCCGGCCGTGTCGAAGGGGGACGGGATGCGGGGTCTGGCGGTCTTCATCTCCGACATCCGCAACTGTGAGTGGCCGCGGCGCGAGACCCGGCCTGCGAGAGGCGGGGGTCCCGGTGCGGACCTGGAGGGCGGGGGCCCGGGGGCTCAGGCCCCGGGTGCGGGGGTGCGGGGCGCGGTCCCGGGTGCGGACCCGGAGGGCAGGGGTCATGGGGCGCGGGGCGGGGCGGGATCCTGGGTGCGGACCTGGAGGGCGGGGGTCCGGGCGCGCAGGCCCAGGGGTGCGGGGGTGCGGAGCGGGGTCCCGGGCGCGGAGCTAGAGGGCGGGGGTGCGGAGGCGCTGGCCGGAGTGCGTGGTGGGGGTTCTCGGGGGCGTAGGCTCGGAGTGCGGGGGTGCGGGGCGGGGTCCCGGGTGCGGACCCGGGGGGCAGGGGTCATGGGGCGCGGGGCGGGGCGGGGTCCTGGGTGCGGACCCGGCGGGCAGGGGTCAATGGGGCGCGGGGCGGGGCGGGATCCTGGGTGCGGACTCGGAAGGCGGGGGTCCCGGGTCGCAGGCCGGAGTGCAGGGTGGGGATCTCCGGGGCATAGGGTCGGCGTGTGGGGGTGCGGGGCGGGGGTCCAGGATGCGGACCCAGAGGGCAGGGGTTCAGGCGCGCAGGCAGGGAGCGCTAGGGTCCCGCTTGGGAACCTAGAGGGTGGGGGTCCGGGGGCGTGGCTTGGGATGTGGGGGTGCGGGGGTGTCTGGGTGCGGACCCAGAGGGCAGGGGTTAGGGGGCACAGGGCTCTGGGAGGCAGGCTCGGGGGTGGGACTGGGGCCTGCGGGTAAGGCAACAGTGGGGCAGGGGTTGCAGGGTGCAGGGCGGGGGGTGTTGTCCACCCGCGTGGGGGGCTGTGGCATCGTTGACGGGTTCCGGAGGACCCCCGCATGATGTCATCTTGAGCAGCCTGCAGTCTTCTAGTAATGGAGCATTTAACCCAGCCTTTTCCAAAGCAGCACGGATTTCCACTTCGGGAGTGGGGACGGCCATGTCTTGCCGGGCTCTGGTGGCTGGTCCGCCCTGATTAAAATGACTCATTTCCCGGGGGGGATCCAGACTCAGGGCAGTAGAGGGTGGGATGGCTTTGGGGTGACTGGCCTGGCTGCTGTCTGTGTTCTCGGGGACACGCGTGTCCCCTCACGGTGGGACAGATCCGCAGCAGAAGGCAGGCAGGCCAGGAGGCTGGTGGGGGCACCGTGGGTCCACCCGTAAACCTGGCTGTGGTCTGCAGAGGGGCTGCGGTGCTCGGAGAACACCGTCCTTTAAGTTTTTTTTTTTTTTAAAGATTTATTTATTTATTTATTTGACAGACGGAGATCACAAGTAGGCAGAGAAGCAGAGAGAGAGGAGGAAGCAGGCTCCATGCTGAGCAGAGAGCCCGATGTGGGGCTCGATCCCAGGACTCTGAGATCATGACCTGAGTCGAAGGCAGAGGCTTAACCCACTGAGCCACCCAGGCGCCCCCGGTCCTTTAAGTTTTAAAGTAGACACAAAACCAGTTTCCTGTCTGGTGCTTTTCTGCTGTGTTTTGTTTTCCATGGAGAGTTGACTGACTTTGTGACCTTCGGGTCAGCATCTGTTTCGAAGAATGTCACGCACGGCACCGGCTGGTAGATGCTGTCGTGGGGAGCCTTCCCTTGACCCCTCTCTCCTTAGACCGGAGGACCCAGATGCCCTGCTGGTTCTCCCCAAGACTGGGGACGCTCAGCTCTTCTGTCCCTCTCCGTCCTGTGTGAGAAACCGAGAGGCCCGCGTGGGAACCTCTCTCAGATCCGAGCTTCTACGAGTAGCTTTTCCTTCCTTTGCTGTTCCGTATGGTTTCCCGGCAGTGGTGCTCGCGATCAGAGCGTCCGGTAAAACTACTGCAGGGGAGGCCTTGGCCGGAGGGCTCGTGGCCTTGCATTAGCAGGGATGTCAGTTCTCCCATTTTGGAAGGAAAACGCGGTGGGCAGGAGAGACACTGAGATCGAAACCAGTCCTGGACAGCCAGTCACCTGCATATGAGACGTGTGTCCTGTGCTAGGTGCACACTTGAGTGGCAGGTGGGTGCCTGCCCCGCGCGGGGGACTCTGCCGGTCCTTGCCAACGGACCGTAGGGCGGACTTTCCCCGGCCCCACACTGTGGAGCTTGGGGCCCGTCCCTTGTTGAGCTGCGCTGCCCGGTGGCGGTGGAGAGCAGCGTCCCGGCCTCCGTACGAGTCGCTGCCTCCATGCAACAGCCACACAAGTTGTGCAGACACTGCCAGGTGGGGCCCGGTCTGCTCCCGCGCAGGGCCACCAGGGCCACCAATAGACCAGCGCTCTCCCGCAGGAGTGTCAGGAGGGAGGGGCGCCTCGCCCTTCTGGGGGGCAGGTCTCTGTTTATTATGGCCCGTCCTCGGAAACGCCTTTGCAACCGTGCTGTGCCCTAACCTGTGTCCCATCCGTCGTAGTGCTGCACTCCTTCAGAGCAGTGTCGTGGGCTTGGGGTGCTGTTCCCGCGCTGCACCGGAAGCCCTGTGAGGTGGGCTCCGTGCCCGTCTTGTTCATCGTGTCTCTCCACTGCTTGCACAGCGTCTGGCGTGAGACATGTGCCCAGTAGATGCGTAGGCGAGTGAGCCAGAGAGGACGTCGCTGGAAGATGATTTGTCTAACGGGCACTGCAGGTGGAGGGCCGAGATGTGCGGGCAGCAGGGATTAGCGTTCTAAGCACGTGTGGGCCGGTGGCTGCAGGTGGTCTCGGAGAGCCAACCCCGGCCAGAGCCGGTCTAATCATAACCCCGGTGGCGCAGGGAGAGCGGTCCCTGTGTCCCCCTTTCCTTGCCCACCTCTGATTTTGTGTGTGTAGTGGGTTCTTGTTATGATGTAGGCAGGCTCCGTGCAGAGAGGTCACTGAGTTTGTGGCAAGGGTCTGGACCCTGACTGCCTCTCACCTGCTTCACCACCCAAAGCCGGGGGCCGCTGACCTCCAGGCTCCTCAGCGGACGAAGAGGGCTCTAGCACAAGTAGGCAGAGAGGCAGGCAGAGAGAGGAGGAAGCAGGCTCCCCACTGAGCAGAGAGCCCGATGCAGGGCTCGATCCCAGGACCCTGAGATCATGACCTGAGCCGAAGGCAGAGGCTTCAACCCACTGAGCCACCCAGGCGCCCGAAGACTTGATCTTTTTTGATTAACTTCAACCGAGAGCCGCTGAATTTGGCTAATGTGAGTTTGCTGTATGGGAGTTAATGAAGTCTTTCTGTCTGTTTTTAAACTGATATTTAAAATCCTAACCCTTTTATTTAGTCCCAATTTTAAAATAATTCTTTGTTCTGAGATAAATATAGATTCACAAGAAGTTGCAGAGAAATGGACAGGGAGGTCCCAGCACCCTTCACCCCACCTCTTCAGAGGGGGTCTCTTGCATAATAGTACAGTTTCAACACCGGGAAACCGGCATTGGTACACTCCGCAGGGCGTAGTCACATTTTATCAGTTTCACCTGACGCAGTGTGTGTGTGTGTGTCTTTGTAACTTTTATCACATTTAGCTTCATGTAACCCCACATTAATCAGGACGGAGAGCTGTTCCGTCATCACAGAGCCCCTTGCGTTACTCCGTATAGCTCGCCTGCCCCTCCCAGCTAGTAGTCTGTTCTCTGTCTCTACGTAACGTCCCAAGGAGGTTGTGTGACTGGCGTTGTGCGGTGCATGAGCTGTCGAGGTGGGCCTTCCTCACTCGGCACGGTCCCCTGCAGCCCCTCCAGGCTGCTGCGTTGATGTTTATCATAGCCAAGTGGGGGGTTTTTAAAAAAAATTTTAAATTTTTAAAATTTATTTTATTTTATTTTTTTAAAGATTTTATTTATTTGTCAGAGAGGGAGAGAGAGAGAGAGCACAGGCAGGGAGAGCAGCAGGCAGAGGGGGAAGCAGACTCCCCACTCAGCAGAGAGCCGGATGCGGGGCTCTCTCGCAGGACTCTGGGATCGTGACTTGAGCCGAAGGCAGGTGTTTAACTGATGAACCAATCCAGGCATCCCGGATTTTTTTCCTAAAGATTTATTTATTTGCGAGAGCGAGCGAGCGAGAGCACGAACGCGCGTGCACACACAAGCAGGAGGGAATAGAGAGACGTCAGGCAGGCTCCACACCCAGCCGGCTGCCTGATGCGGGCGCGGCGCGTTCTCAGTACCCTGAGATCATGACCTCAGCTGAAACCTAGGGTCAGACCCTCAACCGACTGAGGCACCCAGCACCCCTCAAGGGATGATTTTAAAGAAAATGAAAGAACTGCTGAAATTGGGAAGAGAGTAGCTATTTGCTGTTCAGTTGCTTTGGCACTTCTGCTTACTTTCACATGCACGCTTTGTTGGCGGACGGTTGTATAGAACTTAACGCGTCTCTGCGCGCCGTCGTGGACCGGTCAGTGCCGTGACAGCGCTGAGAGTGTAAAGCCGTGCGGAAGATACCAGACTTGGAGTTGATTGCAGAATAATCAAGACTACAGTGAGAGAGAAGCGATAGGTCTTCATTCTTGTGAGACCAGTCATGTTGCCAGTGGGCAGGAAATTGCCCCTTACTCCTCTGCGCACGTGGTGGCGGGGGCTGTGCTGTGCAGATGACTTAAGACCTGTCCCTCGGGCTTGGAGGCATTTTATTTCATCCCTCCAGGCACTCACTGAAATGAAGGGAAACGAGTGGAGAGATGTAATTAGCTATTTGGCAAAAAACAAATTTCCCATGTTCTTGGAGAAAGCTTGTGGTTCTGCTGCAGGTGCAGCGAAGGACTGGGGCAGTGTCAGTGCTCTGCTCATTGTGTTGGTCACAAAACGGTGTCCTTTCTGTCTCTGGTAACTTTGTTGAAATTAAGCATCCCTTTGAATTGTTTTTCAGCATGACTAAAGTTTAAAACACTTATTTGTTCATAAAATTCCATTTGTTACGAGTCATAAATTGAACGTGGAGAAACTGAACATAAAAAGTTGAAGTTCCGCTTAAGCATCAGTGTAGGAAGTTAAACGTGACGTTGGTACTTGATTTTTTCCTTAGTAGCGATAGAGATCAGAATCACAGT